TTTAAATAATCCTAACATACTTTTACCCAATGAAAATATAAATATAGCAATGCAGCAAAGATTACTCTGTCGTATTAGAAGATCATATTGCTAATCATTCAAACGTTTTACAATTTAAGTTAAGATATTTGAGATTTTATAAAACTGCTACAGAACAATATATTAAACGTTTGCCCTTAAAAGATAAATTTATAACTGAATTAGAGAGAGTTTCTTGTACCAAAGATTGCATTTAAGTAAAAATGGTAATAGGCCACCATTAACATATGTATGTGATAAATATAAAAATTTAGTTCCTAATGTTAATGGTATCATAATCAAATGGAATAAGTTACCGTATTACTTTTCTGAGGATGAAGTAAAAAACTTAAAGAAAGTACAAATTAAGTTATTTTGATATCAAATTTCTGAAATAAAAGATTTTAATGATCAATACCTATTTGCAAATTTGTTCACTTTGGCAAAAATAGTTTTATCCTTACCTCATTCCAATGCTCACGTAGAAAGAACTTTTTCTAAAAATGCAGAGATATAAAAACAAAAAAACATAATCGATTAAGTACTAAAACTATATGTTCATTATTACGGATTAAAATGCAGATGGAAAATTTAAAAGTTAATGCTACTAACTACCCTTTAAGAGAGGAATTATTTAAAAAATACAATTTGAGTTACTATTATTGAGAGGAAATAGAAATTCCCTTCACTAGTCAGCAAGATAATGATATATTATTAGACTTTGACGATGATCATTAGATTTTGGTGACTTTTATGTTATCAGAGAGACTGAATTAATGTAACATTCTATTTTTGTTTCTTTTCCGCATTTATATACTATATGTTATGATAGTATATATATATATAATTATACATGTTTCTTTAATTTGGAAAAAATATATTCATTTATATATGATACTTCCTTCATTTTCATCATTTTCTTTTCGCATATTTTTGAATTTTCGTGCCAATTTCCACGCGGAAACCTTCAGTCTTCCTTTGAGGTCGATGGCAGGGAATGGAAAATCGTAGCAAAATGAGGAGGACAAATTTTCACTAACGTCGCTATGCCCGAACTAAAATCGATCACGTAATGAAGAAGTTATGTCTACTGCACGCTGGATCTAATGAAAGCTTTGCTTTTTTATATGTGATGATACAGTTCTCATCGGATTCATCGCTCATTGCTCATCGCGTCCAGTGTGCAGTAGACATAAGACGTGAAAAATAAACGTAATCTAAATCAGGTGAGTTTTTTAATTCATTAATTGATCAATCGTATAAAGCGCAAATGCATCAAAGAGTCTTTTATTTATCGATTAAATACGTCTATGTGTTTTTATTTACAGCGCTGAAATCATTGCATCCATCAGATTTATCGACTAATTTAGTTTTCTGATTAAACATGGATATATTGTCTAAAATATTAATTATGATTATTGGTTAATATTGTGTTTTATGGACACTATAATATGGAAACGTTACAATATTATAATATAATTTTAAAAAATGTTTTTTACAACAGATGAGAATCTTCTTCTGATTCTTTAATGATCAACAACAGTGATACTGCTATGGATTTATTATTAATTAAACGTAAACGTGGCTAAGCACACAAAAATTGATAATTTCTTAGAGTACCTTTACTAAGATGTATACTTTAAAGCACATTTTCGATTATCTGGAATTTCGATTGAGATATGCACTAGTATAGTGATTATAACTGCAAAAAATATGGAATACGTAATAATAATACGAATAAATAATATATAAAAATATAAAGCTTTAATCAAAAATATGAGGTGTCTTATTATTATTGTTTTATTATTGTTTAAAAGAGTGATGGCAAAAGTGATTTCGCCTATTTTTTGAACCTCGAATTTCAAACTTTTTTTTATGATAAGTAGTACTATTAGATGAAACATTAATCAGTAAAATTTCAAGGTGAGCATAAGCACATTCTGGAGATACAAGGGGGTAAAAACCCCGATCTGTGAGAAGCAAGGGGACTCACAATAAAAAAACACCTCGATATGTGAGAAGCAAGGGGACTCACATTTAATAATTCAGGATAAAATTTAATAATTCAGGAAGACCTCGTATAGAACCGAAAGTGCAGTTACTTGCTGTTGTGGTTGCTAGCAACTTTTGATTCTTATACATAAATACCATTTTTTATAAAAACTGTAAATCGTATGAATATTATAACAGAGAAGTTCAAACAAAACGGATCTTGATAATATTCTTGGTGCTATTGGCGGTTCATGTTTAAAAAGACAAGATGAAGTAATTTTGATATCATTATCATGAATATACAGGTAAATTTAATTTAGGCACGAAAATCTATAAATCATTAGCTCTGCGAACTCGGTCTTTGAATCCGGAGTGGATCGAACAGCTCGATTGGCTCTAGAAATGTCAGAATAATAGATTCTTTTGATTTTAGGGGTTGATTGTGTTTAGAATAGTCGATTCGTTCATACATTGATACGTGCATGCTGTATATACATAATTTTTATATCCATTGTGGTTTACTTCACAGCTTATTTTCTGGCATGTACCTATCAAAAGAATTGCTAATTTCACAGGTATTTATGAAACGTCGGATTATAAGATGTAAGTAATGTTTTAAGGTACTAATGCAGCCCTATCATTGACTTCTTAAGAACCGTAGTTAGGCGGTCTTAAATATACAAATACAATATAAAAATACAAACATATACATAAAGAAAATCATCCAATCATATTTTACGTTTGTCTTTATGACAGAAATATGATTGGATAATTTTCTTTATGCATATAGTTATGCGGCTATGCAAGTTTGTGTGGAATGACCCTAAATATTAACCTAAATTTCAAATCTACTGCTTTTTTGGCGTACCATCTACCCTTCAATTTTTCAACTATTTGGCAGCATTGGTCATACTTGACGTGACAATCGCAATTTATACATTTTTGTTATAAATTTTCGTGACACGTGTTATTATTAAATTAAGTGAATTATCGCATAAACAAATTTTTCAAAGCTTGTGAATATATTGAGTACTTTGTTCCAGAATCTAGAACTACAGTTCAAAGAGAGTGACTCGGATTTTGGACGGATTATTATACTGCTAATTGTTATATTGCTGAGGATGACTACAAAGCAAGTCGAAACAAGATTTTGAAATAAAGAAGACATCAAATCATGTTATAAAAAAGTAATTTTTATTTATTGATTACTGTGCGCAACTCCTTCCTCGCTGACTCCCAACCTAGACACTTATTAATTATTATTATTTTAAATATTAAAAATTTTTATTTGTTACATAATTTGAAAATTATTAACTTTTCAGAGAAATTAGCACCATGATTAGCATAAAGTGGCAGCGACTTAAATATGTTTGAACATATTTATCGCACATTGTCACTGGAATACATACATATAATCAAGGGTTTCAATAGTCTTACTTTAGACCATACATGTGAGTATACAATCAATATTATAAATTAAATGCTTATAATGGTCAAAACTGAATCCTTAATGCTATTTATTTCATTTATGTATTACTTCATATTATCAAATATAATTTGCTAATACGAAGTATTGTAACATGTATTATAATTTACGGAAACTTATTCAATTGGAGAGGATCTCCAATTAATTAGTTTTTATGAGCATATAAGTTTTGAATATAAATTTGAGATATATGAGACGCGTGTAATTGCTACAACGCCCGTTATCATTTAAACTAAAATAATAAACAATGTACAGCAAAAACGCGATTGGAAGAATAACTAAATTTTATTAAATATTATTTAACAATTCTAATACCAATTAGACCGAAAATAAATTAAGAGAAATCATGCTATTTTTTATCCAAGTAGATCTTAGCTCTTAAATAATTTCCGCGACAATTTGTATACATATATGTTCGCGCTTCGCGCCTATTGGAATGGGTAGGAGCGCTCAGTCGGTTGTGTATCCGCGCATCTGCGAGTCGCTAGTTCTAGAGCGTCTTTTGTGGCGCTGCTTGCAATGGCGTGGCGCTGTTAAGGCCCACTGGGGTCGCATGAGTATATGGCCGCGTGGCCTGCAGCAATATTGTGCTATAGGACTATTTTTTTTTACTGAACTTTTACACCAGTTCATCTTTCTGTTTTTTTTACTCCTGAAGAAAAATATTTTTTAGTGAAATTTGTGGAACAAGTTAGAGTAACATACATGGCGGACAAATACAATTATATTAAAGGTAATTTATTCGTAAATTATTCGTGTCGGTATTCTTCGTATTGTTTAATCATGTTTAATAGATTACGATCCAAGAATTTAAATTAATTAAATGCCGTTACTCGGAAAGATGTTTCCAACAATCTTAAAAAGTAAAGACTTCACAATTGCTTCTTTCAATTTCAGATATTGATAAAATAGAAAAAATTTTATTGATAAACTGCGAATAATGATATATTAAAGACTGCTTTAGCTGTGGATTCAAATAACGAAAGCAAAAGTGAAACGGAAGAATTATTGAACATAATTATTTGTATGCAAGTTTCTCAATTAAGAGGACAAACAAAAAAAAGTAATCCAAATAGAAAATTACGTAAATAATGTAGTACTTAGATTCATGATATGTCAATTCAAAGAACATTTTCATATGGCATCAAACACTTTTTATTTATTAGAAAATAACTTAGTCCGATGCTGATAAAATTTAATAATTCAGGAAGACCTCGTATAGAACCGAAAGTGCAGTTACTTGCTGTTGTGGTTGCTAGCAACTTTTGATTCTTATAGATAAATACCATTTTTTATAAAAAATACCATTTATAAAAACTGTGAATCGTATGAATATTATAACAGAGAAGTTCAAACGAAACGTATCTTGATAATATTCTTGGTGCTATTGGCGGTTCGTATTGAAATTTCAGCACTATCTGTAATATTGATAGTTTTGCTTTTTTTTAAATATGTTATTATTTAAATTTGATTAACAGAAATTTATGTTTATTTTTCAGATAGATGTTGCCTGACAAGAAACTGTAGATGCTATTATATCACAGCTTCAAGCTATGAGATACAGATATGTTTTGTTATGCCGGATATCCTGGTTTTGTGGAGGATCTTAGAGTTTTTCGCAATTCTGATCTTTGGAATTGTGTCAATCAAAGAAATCTTCTGTCTTTTTTTCATAATCAAGAATTTACAATAGGAGACAAAGCATATCTTATACTTGGATGGTGTTTGACCGCTTATAAGGATAATGGTCATTTAACAGAGGTACTTTATAATATATTTAAAAAAATAAACATTACAGTATTTTAATTTTAAAATAAGATTATGTCATTTTTTGATCAAAACAGAACTTTAAATACTAAATTAATATTCATATAGTAATATAAATATTAATTTAGCATTTAAGATCCTACTTTGATCGAAAGACAGCATGATCTTTTTATTTAATACTGTTCTGTTATATTAATACTATTTTATTTCACTTATATTTTAATTTTATTTTATCACAAACTAGACAAATAATAGAACGCGCTTTTCTGCAACTTCTGCAACATCTTGTAGTGACTGTATTATAATGTATTATTTGAACTTTCAGCTGCTCCATTGGATGAATACTATTTTTAAGCAGAATAAGAATGAGTATATACAGCAGTATATATAGAAAATGAAAATGATGAATCAATCAATCAGTCATGAACTGATCAATTAACAGAAAAAGCAAAACTGTACAACAAATTTTAATTTTTTAAATCGATAATCAATATAAGATTTACGTCATGGCAGTATTACTAAAATGAGGAAAGTGAGTTTAGAAAAATATAATTTTTGTACAATATATTTATTTATTATTACAGTATTGCAGCTATGTCATCATTATTTCGTTAATAAATTTTACTTTATTTTACTGATGTGTCCTATATGACATTTGCAGAATTGGCGTTTCAACTTATGTTGAACTCCTCACGTGTAGCAAGAATGCTGTAGATGCATCAGATTTGATGGAAGATCAAGCAAGTTCAGTAGAAGACAACATACAAGAAGAAAACATGGACTTGACTGAAGTTAAAACGAATTCAGTAGAAGACAATGAGAAGAAAATATGACTGGATACATATTCTTGCTAATTGTCTTCCATAATTCTGAATATTGTCATAGTGAATTATCAATACTTTTTTAACTGTAACCTAATACTCTATACTATTTGTACAGAGTATTGGGTTACTGCGATGAGTAATAACTTCGATGAGTCATGATAACATCGGATAAGTCGAATCATCTACAATCATGTATGATACATCTGTACCATCAAAAAATGTTTTTAGATATCTAAAATTCATAAAATATTATTTTAATATTACTTAAAAATACAAGCAAAACTTACATTAAATAAAGATTTATCTGGGGAATAATAATCTGCCATTCTTATGTATGCTACTTATATCCTACTTTACTATCCTTCAATACAGCAGCAACGTACACACTTCTAGGATGTTTTGAGCTCTTTTCAGTCTTGCACGCTTACCTCCTATTATGATCAACAACAGCGATTACATTATACGATGTCTAATCTTTTCCTGTTTATAAAATCTCGATAACTTTCATTCGATAATTTTCGTAACAAATTCGTCGATAAAGTGTCTAAGTCTAATTCTAAAAACTCGACGTTATTTGTTCGTGTAAACGTGTCTGGGAACCATTATTTTGTACGTACAGATTGCAAAGCATTTATTTCAAGTAAATGTTGTCACAACTTGACAGCTGAGACGCCATGTTTCATTAAGAAATGGTAAAAAATATATCAATTTTGAAATTTTTGATCATTCTAGACGTAAACTCCACTTTCCAGACACGTATTAATGTATATACTTTAATCCTGGAAAAGGATTTTCGAATCGGTGAAAGAGAAAAAAAGTATTTGTTATACAAAAATTACATGATAATCAATAAAACAGACGGCTTTAAAAACCCTTTAAGGGTTGGTTAAGGCATAGGCTTGCTGTAGCTGCATTCTGTTACTCGTTATGACAACAATGATATCGTTACTGTCATAACGAGTTACAACTATAGGATATATGTTAAACTTACTATAATATTTGTAACTAAAATTTGATATAAGATTAATCATAAATTCTTTAAATACTTTACATTTAATAATAATAGTTTATCTAAAAATAAATATTATTTTAGATTTGTTATCTATATTTCATTTCTATAATTACTGAATATTTCAATAACATTACTGATTGTATAGCTTCCGAGCGTATAAATTCTAACGAAAAACGATTCATTATGAAAATTTTCCTTCGAGATCCAACTCGGCGTGCTTAATAGGCGACATAGATTGGTCAATAAAGAGTGGACTCCTACTAATAGATCATTTCTATGTGAAGTATGTTCAAGATTATTTATATAATTAAAATTTTTTTATTTATTTATATAATTATAACAATTTTTTCACAGACTGACACATATATGGTCACTTCACTCCAAATCAACGATTTTCGTCACTGACCCCTTACGATCTTTTTACTAATATTTTTATATTTCCCATCTTAAAATAAGTACTCAGTTATTTTTTTAGATTTTTATCTCCATTAGTTTCCTAGATTTAAATTTTTAAAAATTTATTTCGAAAACTTTCAATATTAGAAAGTGGCTCAATGTTAAGAAGGTTAAGTAAAAATTGTTAGAATACGAAAATAAAATGACGGGAAACGGTTTTTTCAAAAAATATTTGCTTCACAATAGAAACTACCACTTGCGTGTCTCTCTGCGGCGGCTCGTTTGTCGTTTTTGGAACTTGAGACAGCCTGATAGTAGTTACAATCGAAAATGACTCCACACGATAGAAAAAAGAGGAATTCTGTACATTCTAATGTTAATTCGGTCAAAAATTATGTAAATTGATTGTATTAAAAAACATTATATTGTTAAAGTTTTTGTTTCTACTCGAAAAATCCGATTGAACTAAACAAATTCGATTTTAATAAATTTTTGTTATGAATTTTCGTGACACGTGTTATTATTAAATTAAGTGAATTATCGCATAAACAAATTTTTCAAAGCTTGTGAATATATTGAGTACTTTGTTCCAGAATCTAGAACTACAGTTCAAAGAGAGTGACTCGGATTTTGGACGGATTATTATACTGCTAATTGTTATATTGCTGAGGATGACTACAAAGCAAGTCGAAACATTCAAGATTTTGAAATAAAGAAGACATCAAATGAATGTTATGAAAAAGTAATTTTTATTTATTCATTACTCTGCGCAACTCCTTCCTCGCTGACTTCCAACCTAGACACTTATTAATTATTATTATTTTAAATATTAAAAGTTTTTATTTGTTACATAATTTGAAAATTATTAACTTTTCAGAGAAATTAGCACCATGATTAGCACAAGGCGGCAGCGACTTAAATATGTTTGAACATATTTATCGCACGTTGTCACTGGAATACATACATATAATCAAGGATTTCAATAGTCTTACTTTAGACCATACATGTAAGTATACAATCAATATTGTAAATTAAATGCTTATAATGGTCAAAACTGAATCCTTAATGCTAGAATAATGTAAATTATGTATATACTATATATGAATATATATCATGACTATAACATTGTTCAAAATTTACGCTAAAAGTAAATTCGCCATTGCTGGGTTTATAAACGCAATTAAACTATATTTGCAGTTTCTTCTTTTTCCTCTTGTGTAGGATATTTTATTATATTAGGTGTTAAAGTCATGTGATAAACTCTGTGACTCTTATGATTCTGTTATATAGGGTATTAATTGCAGCTCTGAATCTCGATAGGCTTTACCTTCATATCCGACGAAAAGCACAATATGTTTATTATTATTTTTCTGCTGTAATTTTTAAATATTCCCCTCGATATGAAAAAGTAACAGACAATATGCTATAGTGTCTCATTTTAATTGCCCTAGACAAATATCTTAAAAAATAAGTAAGATACAAAAAAATGTTTCAGATATTTCAAAGCAGAATAGTTTCGGGAGGGATGTATTTCAGATCAGGTAGTTTCTTTCGTAAGTAGAAGTGCTAAAAGATATAAAGATCACTTCCACTTTTTTAAATGGAATTAGTGATCCTCATAAAATACCTCGAGAGCATATGAATCGATAGAAGAAATTTTGGCATCGGTTAAGGTCGAGGTTAGTTGATCACCCTCTACTATAGTTGTTCGCAAATCCTATATTTGCCCTATATAATCAATTAAATATATATTTTCTAGGTTTCTTGTACACGATGCTAAGCTGTCTCCGATAATAATTGGTGCTGCTACCAGGACCGAACGTTCTTTTGAGAGTTTCTAAAAATTTGGCAACTGTAAGGTGAGTTTTGTCTTCTATAACAAGATATACATGTTGCGATAATTCATTCCTTAGCATTTGCACGAATAATGCCTCATCAACTAAAGATATTGAATCTTTTGCTCTCTTGCAGGCACGCGCGAACTGCTAAATATTATGCTCGTCATATTTTGGAAACGAGATCATGAGATGCCTCGCGGATGTACGATTTCGGATAAATGGAGTAAGCGACAGCGAACGTTATATCCGATGGTAAATTGAAGAACATGAGGGTTTCTCTTGGAAGTATCAATGATATCATCATTTCGATCCAATCATAAATATTCAGTTAAGGCAGTTGGTTATACAATTTAAAATAAAAAAAAAGAGGAGGTAATATTAGTAACAACGAAAACCTCTAGGCATTGCAATTTAATTTTTTCTGAATTAATAACATCGTTTAAGTAGTTAATCTGTCAATTTATGTCTTTTTTTTCAGATATTTCAAAGCAGAATAGTTTTCAAGAGGGATGTATTTCAGGTCAAGTAGTTTCTTTCCGAAGTAGAAGTGTTAAAAGATATGAAGATCACTTCTACTTTTTTAAATGGAATTACAATTTTTTTTACATAATAACTCCTAAAACATAAAAAAATTAAGATGGAGAGCACAAACTTTTACATAATACTAGCAATAGTATGAACATTCCTCATTAAAAATTGTACATAATGTATTCCATCAATTTCTATTTGATATCATTATCATGAATATACAGGTAAATTTAATTTAGGCACGAAAGTCTACATTAGCTCTGCGAACTCGGTCTTTGAATCCGGAGTGGATCGAACAGCTCGATTGGCTCTAGAAATGTTAACGTCGAACGCAGATCAGATGAGATGCCGTATAGATCTTTATAGAGTTTGGTCATCAAACCTCCCGTAACGTTAAAAAATTTTTTGTCCCTCAGAGAGAATCATTCAAGAACTCGCCATATCTCTTAAATCGTTGATACCACGAGTTCTAACAAAAGTCTTTAACACTTCGAGTGTTGACTTTCGTTAGAACTCGTGGAATGCTATTCAGAATTGTTGAGAGAGTTGCCAGAACTTCATCCATTAAACATTATTTAACATCCGACGGGTGAAAAATTTTTTTAAAGTTCCAGCAAATGTCGACAATTTTGGATAGCACTTCTTGAGTTCTAACGAAACATATTAACGCTTGAAGCGTTAAGAACAACGGTTTAAGAGATATTGTGATTTTTCGTATGTCAGATCAAAAAATTTGTAACACTCTGTTGAAAATGTTTCGTAAAAAACCTGGTTTATTGTTAAACGGTAAACGGAATTAGTACAATATTCGTGATCTCGTAACCTGTCGCTAATTGACTAACTTAAGATACGCGCGCCCTCGCATTATGGCGTAGTCATAGAGTAAGACAAATGAAAAGTCGCAGCTGTACATGAATGAATAACAACACACGCGCGGAAATGCTCACAAAGGAGCCTAGGACAAATTAATAGTAAAAAAAAAGAAAAAAAAACAAGAAAATAAGGCATAATGATTTACATATAAAATCAAACATATACTGTCGACCAAGACATAATCTTCCTCATTTTCATTGATAGCAACTTGCATAACTTATTAATAGCACGTTTTGTCACGCCATTAGCCGTTTTAACTAATACTATTGCGGACGAGATTAGCAATTTTACGATTCTACTTAATTTTTATTGATATAGAGGCGAGCATTCTTCGTGGAGTATAACTAAGTTGTCGAATTGCAAATTTTGCTGAACACCTTTGAAGCGATCTTGGAAAGAAAGCTGACATATTCTGCCACCTCCAAAAGTCTTGTAAAATACGTTGGTTACAACGGCTTAAAGATTTATATCTTGGAGATCAGCCTCAGATAAGTATGTAATAGATCCTCCAGTAAGGAAATGTCCAGGGGTAAAAGATTTCATATTGGATCATTAGACAAGGTATATAAAGTACGTGAGTTTAGGCAGGCCTCTATTTGCACGAGTGTAGTGCACAATTCTTCACAAATATAGAATAAGGCACTACCATTGCGGTTCTCAGCAAATTTTTGCACGACTTTACCCCGGTCTCCCATAATCTGCCGATATGAGGGAAATATGATAGAATGAAGATCCATTGTACTCTCGCCGTAGTCAACTGCTCTTGAAATGGTCCTTTGATCTGTTGCTGCGCAAATTTATACATCTCGGCCAGTTCTCCTTGAGCTTTTTGAAATTAATGATATTGTCGCTGTAGATTCTCTGAGGACAACCTCATCTACTTATAAAATGTCTTAAAGCAGCCACGAAAACGCTTCAGAATTTAAATCACTAACCGCCTCCAGATGGACCGCCTGCATTGCGAAACAGATAAGGCGATATAACTCTTATTATCGTTTTGTGTCCTCGTCCTTTGCTCAATATAATGTAGGAATAAGATCTGCAAAATCTACACAAGAAGGGACGCATAGATGTAACGCGGTTCGCGAGTAAATTGTCCATCAATTGCAGAAATGTATCAGGATTCTTGCAAAAACATTGTAGGAATAAATCTTGCGAACTATGTTCTTGCCGCGTAGGGGCCAATATTTCTGACGCGAGAAGCGCCTGCGGGCCAGAATAAAGAAGACATTTATGCTCTCTTTCGATTAGTAATTTAGTTAATTAATGATGCAAGAGTAGCAGAATGAGGTGTCTCTGATTGAAAGCCAAAGATGCCTGGCGTAAACAACTTCCCATTCTAAGCAGATCCTTATCATCCAAGAAGAGATACAAAGTTAGCAATTTGCTAAATGTCTTCAAGTTTTTTGATTGGAATAAATTTTGACACAAAATCTCCTTCTAAAAGGTTTCCACTTGTGCATTCCTGATTAAGTGCGTCCTCGCGACCCTATGGAATCTTGTGTTATGATATGATATAAGGTTTTAAAATTCCTTTCTTCGCTTCGGATTTCCTTCAGCTCATAAACTGATACCTTAGACAAATTCGTTTGCTATCATAATTCTATTGGAGAGATATGACGGACTTTCCCACCACATGCTGTGATTTTGAAGGGCATTAGAAAATGCATTATACCTCTTGATAATAAGTTCGCAGGATTGTCTTCGCTCCTAACATGCGATCACACCTCGGCTGGAAGAACGTTGGTAATTTCTAAAACTCTCTCGATGGACGATAAATGGCTTCTACCGTGATACATCATTCTTTATCTAATGTAAAGCCAGAGAAATTTATGAATGCAAGAATCTTGTAGAATTCGAAGTTGCAAGCTTACTTGCTCTATTAAATGAGATAGAAGTAGCGCGCTATATAGTTCTAAGTGTGGTATTGAGATAGTTTTAATCGGCGCAACACATGATTTCATAATAATCACGTTGTTTTCTTTCGTCGTGTGCTTTGACATAAATGCAGGCTCCGTAAACATTTTGAGAAGCGGCATAAAATCCATATAAAATCAAACTGGCCGAAAGAAGATTGAGAAATGTTGCGGAGAAATATTGAGATATGCGGAGAATAGTGGAATTGGATTAACTCCCACGTAAGCTTTTCCCATCTGCTTATGATGTTAATAGTTTGCTCCAAATCTCAATCGATCTCTTCCTTTCAGGACGCTTGCATTAAAAGTTTGACGAAGATTATGACAAGATCTAAAAGACCTAACGGATTAAATGATTACTGATACGAGAAAGGAGCTCTCTTTTGGAGCGGACAGTACTAATTTGAAATTTTATAGTGAATACAAAGACGCCAGTGGTCGGTTCCCAAACTAATTCAAGTATTCTTTATTGTATCGTTGAACTAATCTATTATTACATTAACATATTCTGAGTTATAAAATTAGTCTCGCTATCATTGTCTAATAGCACTCGAATCGGAACACTGAAACCTTGATTTTAAGCATTCCACTATTGCGGTAACCGAGTATATTGCATCTGGCCGTGTTGAATGAATAACATGCTATCTTCGCCTTGTCGCTAAGGGTTGAAATTTCAGCGTTTCAATCTTAGGTTGCTTCACCGTCGTAGGTTGATGGAGCAGAATCTTGTGCTAACCTGTGCACTCTCGGAACCATGTTTGCAACTTCTGGCAAAATGATCGCTCTTCAAGCAATTTATGCAAAGCCAAGTCTACTTGAGACGTTCCTCCGCTATCAATGCGAGAAATTTGGCGCAACGATACAAAAATATGCTTCATTGCATAGAAAGCATGTGCCGGTAAAGTCGCCAGAATTTGCCAAAAAGGAAACTCTATCAATCATATTCTTCGCCTGATTGCCCTTTCCATGTGAACGAGATTGATTTTGTGCCTTTGTAACACTCGTGTTACTGCCCATGAGCTCCAATGTATGGCATCGTTGTATCAAAAGTTCTATTAGCTTATCAAAATTGGAAACTTGAGTGGGTGTCGCGTTTTCATTCGTAATTGCAACATTGACACCAGCTCTCTTTCTTCTCAAGCGCGTAATGTTGCTCAATCCAATTTACTTTCTACCGTGTATAATAAAAGATCACTCCATAAATCGGTGCGTGACCTTAACTTTTTCAACACTCTTATGTATTTGTTGACGTGATCTACTAAATGCAGTATTGTACTGGACCGATTCCTTCTCCACAGCAGACATCGCAAAGAGACATTGCACGTGTCTTCGTCATATAACACCACAGTCTTCAAATCTTTCCTGCAGTTGCTCCCACTGAATAGTTGTCATTAGATAACTCGATCGCTCTAGCTACTGCCCCCGAAGACGCAGGAATGAAAATATATGAATATTCTGTATCCTTGGTGACGTCTAATTGTTATGAATAAACTTCGCTAATGCTTGTTCGATTCTGATTAGCTTGCCCTTGATATAGCTTCGTTGCTTTCTTAATTTGACGATGTCCATGTTTGCCGCTTGTTGCAACTTGATAAACTATGTTTTCTCGATTAAAGCTTTCACTCGCGAAATTTTGACTTACTCGACGAGATATGCTCTATTTATCCGGCTCAAAAGATCAAAATTATGTTGGAAATGTTTCGTAAAAAATCTAGTTTATTAAACGGAACTAGTATAATATTCATGCTCTCGTAGTCTGTCGCTAACTGGTTAACTTAAGATACGCGCGCGCACTCGTCTTATGGCGTAATCATAGATAGAGTAAGAGAAATGAAGAGTCGCAGCTGCATATGAATGCATCACAACGCACGCACGCATGCTCACAAAGGAGCTTACACAAATTAAATAGTAACCAAAAAAAAGAAAAGGAGAAAGAAAATAAAGCAGAATA